TGAATAACCAATCGGAAGCTCAGAATGTCCCCTAATGCTTTTCTCAGCCTTTGTAATGCATCTAGCACCATTTCTTTCTTTTGAACCAAGATTTCAATGAGGTAGGTTGTGTCTTTAGTCTGCTCAAAATTTAATATTTTTTAGACCCCAATACAGCTTAGTTACTAAGTTTGATAAATTATAGTATAAATCTATGGTATTGATGTAGTAATTTATGAATTTTTAGTTGTTCAAAAGTACATATACAACCTAAACAAAATATTTCATTTCATATCCTCAATGTGCAACTGAGTACAAAGGTCGTAACTAGAAGAGAATTGTTTGTTTTACTTCTTTATTTACTGTTCTGTGTTTTAGGAAAAATAACATTAAGAACTTATTTCAAAATAGCAATAATCTATATACATATATAATGTAAAATAATTGAAATGTGACTGTATTTTACAAAATACTAGTCTACTAAAACACAGCCAAGACAAGTTACTTTGTACATACCAAAGGTCACCTTTATGTTATTTGATACAGTAACATGAGTGCGTGTGAGCTACATCATTGTAACTTCTACATTGTTAGCCAGGCATTTCCAGCATTAACATTTTAGAAGTGGTTTTATCTGCACAATATAATCACATCGTGCAATCATGTTGTAATCATAATCGTACTCGTAATCATACAGTTGTAATCGACCCTGTGTCTGGTCACTATATATTTTGTTTTTATAAGTTGTTGTATTGCAATACATCACTTATGAAATATTATTAATGTTTGTTTTGTTTTCGCTCATCCCTAATTTCAAGTGAGGCCTAAACTGTGGTATATATATAAAGAGATGATTACCTCTTTTGACTAGCAATTAATATGTTTGTAAAGAAAACTTAAAATTCTACTAGATTTACTATTAGCAACAGATCACTGCTTTGATGGCTTGAGTGATTTATTTACCACACCTTTGTTACTGGTGGAGTACCCAAAGAGTTATTATTTGGATCTATGATTTTTCTAATTTACTTTAAAGATATTGATAAAGATATAATTAGTAAAGTTTGTAGATGAAATTGGTTATTTTTAGTTGTATTGGGGATGTTAAGATACAATAGAATGACTTGCATCAATTACTTATTTGGACAAATATTTGTCAAATGACCTTTGATTATAGTTATTGTATTTGGATTATTTATTTAATATTGAAGGGAGCCCACTAAATAGTGTGATTGAAAACCAGTTTGACTGGACTCCATTTATGATGAAAATATTGCTAACAGTGAGGGTAGCCAGTTGATGAAGCAATGCATTGTAATAATGTAAGAAGAGTATATGAAGTTAGCTAAATTCATTATAGGGTTTATTTTTAAATTATATTTAAGTGGGTAGCTTGCTTTGATCAGAAGTTAATATTAATAACAATATTTTGCTTTATCATATCCAACTATCCTACAAACTTCACCGATTTGACTTTTTTTGCTAATCTATGGTGTGGACCATTATCAAAAGCTTTTTAAAACTCTTAAGTACATCAAATCCACATCCTTTCAATCTTCCAGATAACATGTAATGTTGTAATAGATTAGTAAGGGAAGATTTCCCTGTAGTGAATACATTTTGATATTCTTTTATGATAAGTTATTTCACTAGATGATCTTGCAAATTTTTTTTTATCAGACTAGATTTTTCCCATATACTATAGAAGTAAGACTAACTGGTCCAGTTTCCAAGACAACTCTTTTAACTTCCTTAAAAAATAGGAACAAAACAAGCAACTCTTCAATCCTCAGGCACTATCCCACTGTCCACTGACCTACCAAAAATGAAAGAGAGAGAGGCTCATATATCTTATCTTTGAAATTCTGGGATAAATCAGTGTTTGGTCCTGGTGCTTTATCTATTCTTATTCTCTCATTTTTTCTTTTAACCATTAAGGGATTAACCCAGTGTATACAGCATGGTAATTTTGACCAACCTTGTAACCACATGTAATTGTGAAACTATAAATCACACAACTCTGAATGTTCTATACTTATTTTTATGAATTTTGGCAAGCTTTTAGTAAACATTGTAAGCCTGTTATACACAAAAAATCAGATTTTTTGATAAAGCTTTTTAATAAAGATTTGTCTGTGAATTTAAGAAACCAGTTACTGACTCAGTTTGAGTGAAAAGTGATTTTCTTGTTAAAAACCAAAATTTTATTTTTGTCGTAGTTTTCATATTTCATTTGCATAATCTCTAGAGCCTTCCAAATGAATATCAAACATTTCTTTTTATAAAACTTTATACTCTATTTTCTCTGCCCTAATAGTAACTGCAGGAAATCAATAGCTCCTGATGAAGCTGTAATAGCAAAACAATGAACTAATAATTAAAGTTACATTATGGAGATATAGGTTATTTTATTTATGTTTATAAAAACATCCCGTAATAAACTCCAGTTTGAGTTAAACAAAGTCAAGAATAATAAGAAATAATCTATTTAAATATTTTCTTTTGAAATTAGAACTCGGTTAATATAAAACATTGAATTATAAACAACATTCTGATGCAAGTTTGTTGACATACATTGATAGCAAAGGTGTTTAAATAAATTTCGAATGTTACTCAGTAAAAAATACCATAACATGTACACTTTGACACCTGTAATCACAGGATTGATATACTTAAAAATTAGTTTTAACTCTTTCTCATAAGCCCTTTTGAATTGCCCATTTTCTTTTTTAACCATATCCTTAGATTTCTTATTGTTCTGCAAATCTTCAATCCTATCTGTTAGTTTAAACTACTTAAATGTGTCCTTATCCTTGTTTTCTCTTATGTCTTTAGTATACCAATTAAGTTTGATTTTCCATGCTATCCTTTTCCTCTTTTTTTACTAAAATGCCATTCTTGGAATAAAATCAATTTAATTTTTAAAGAAATATCAAATTTGTACCACATAACCTTTTAACTTATTATCAGATTTCATGATGTTAATATTTTCAAACTGAGAAACCATGCCAACATTATAAATTACATTAGCTGTGATCAATGGTAAGATATCCTCATGGTCAGCAATTAGGTTTACTGGAGTAGGAACAATTCATCAGTGTTAATTTTGAATAAAAATGCTCAAGAAACATCTTTAAGCAGTTATAAAAATCATAATTGTTTCTGAGCTATGAGAAATTTTAAATGAGATCTATATTTAATAGGAGCAACAAAATTTGAGATTATGAAAAACTAACAAGAATAGACGCTTCTTTAAAAACAAATCGTTGTCAAGCATCTGCAAAAGATTACAATCACTGAACAAAACCAAAACTTGTTATAATGCTTAAAAAAAATTATACTTACAGCAAACCTCAACAGTAAACATGACTTTCCAACACCAGAGTCACCAATTAGCAGCAGCTTGAACAGATAATCACTGAACAAAGAATATATAAAAAAAAGATTTAGTCAAACCTTTCATTTACTCAAATCATTGTTGAAACACGTACATTTTTAAAAGAAAGAGCAAACTAGGAAAGTTTCCTTTAAATTATCATTCAAGCAGTAAATACAAATTATTGACTAATAGTCAATGAAAATTTGGAAGTCCTTCAGAATTAAATGGATAAGACAAGGTTTTTAGGTCTTCATTGAAAACAGTGAATCTTTGAAGACTAGAAACTACAAAATTAAAAAAAACAATAAATAAAACTAAAAAATAAAAACTATTTCAAACCAAGAAAATTAATGGAGAGAATTATAAGACTATGGAACATAAAAATAAATTTTGGCAGGGTACGAGTCATCTTCAGTTAAGACAGCTTTTTCTTTCAAACAGGGTGGATGTACTTTGGAACAGGTTGCCTTCAGATGTTGTAAATTCAGTTAATTTAAGGGAGTTTAAGGAAAAGATTGATAAATATTTGAATGGTAAGGTCTGGCTTCAAGTTTTTTGTTTAATTTAGTGGACAGAACAGCCTAGGTGGACTAAAAGATCCCTTGTTGTCCTTTAATATTATGTGAAGATAAAATTTATGTTAAAGTAATTAAAGTTCTGCGAAATATCAAAGCAAAGATTCATAATTAACTATTGGAGAATGAAAAAATTTACACATGCAAATATATAGGATGCAGTGTTATTAAAATACACATTTGTTTAATATAAATCAATTAAAGTTTAAAATGAAGATTGATTCTGTTAGAATTAGATTAGCAGCATCATGAGAAAATCCTCACACAAGTTGTACCATCTTCAGACTGAATATCATTTTGCTCTATTTACATCAGTTTTATGATAATCTTTTTAATAAACTCTTATATTTTCCTACTATCTTATTGTCCATAAGTTTTTTCAATTTGTTTGTTATTAAGCACAAAGCTACACAATGGGCTAACTCTGTTGTGTCTACCACAGGTATTGAAACCCACTTTTTAGCATTGTAAGCCTTCAGACTTATGCCAAGCCACTAATATAACATAATTTTTTATCCATTTCAACCATTGATTTTCATGTATGTCTGTACATCCACATTAACCCTCTCACTACAAACTCAGTCCCAGGGACCAACCTTGTAACCATTTTGTGCTTGTTATAGTTTTCATACTATAACTTTTAATACAGTATGAGTATATTCATGAAATTGGGCAGATTATCATTAAGTATAACAAGGCTTTCGTACACAAAATATCAGATTTATTAAACTAAGTTTTATGTTTAATTAAAGATTTGCTCATGCATTTTTTTTTCGAATGTTAACTATTCCACATGCAAAGTATTTTTGATTTTAAAATTAATAATTCCTTTATGCATCAGAAAATTGTCAAATTTCATTTACAAAATCTCTATAACCTCCTAATAAAATCCAGATAAATATCAAAGGTTCTTTTTAGAAAAACATTTATCTGTTATTTTCTCTATCTTATCTCTGTACAGGTTTGGTTAAATTGACCGACCTCGTAGCCACCATAAAAGATTCGGAAATAAAATTTAAGTTGCACTTTTCTCATTCTAGAGTGGCTACAAATTGTTAGATGAAACCATAAATGTTTATTCTAAATAGCTTAAATCTTGTAACACTATACATCTATTTATATTTTATTGACTTATCAGCTGTGTCTGACTAACATTACAGAAGTTACAATCATGGCACACAAGCATCTCCTGCTACCTTATTTAATAGCATAATATTGGTGTTTACAAAGTGATCTGTCTTGGCTTTGTTCTAGTGGACCAGTAGTTTGTAAAATGGTCATATTTACGGTTATAATACATTACATAAGTATATATATATATTACCATACAATTGTGAAGAAGTTTGTACTCGCTTGCTATACCTTGCATGCTAAGCCTTGCCAAATTTCACATGTGGAGGATGTAAAAAAAAATAACTTTTAGATTTTAGAAATGCATTGTGAAATAAAAAAATATAAGCTACTCTACCAATATTACAGAATTCTACTGTAATTTATCAGGCATACTAAATAAGCTTTATTTCGGTCTTAAAAAAATAGTTTTTCAAACACCATTTCTCTTACCACTTCCTTCCAAGATTGAGAAAGAAAAGATTAATCTTGAGAAATAGACACCTTGAATAGGCTGAGAAAACTATGTGGGGGAAACCCTGAGCTTTTTATTGGATATAAACACATTATAGAGTGAAGAGAGTGTATGTAAGCAAGTATTTCCAAAAAATGGAAAAGGTGGATGGGGCCACTGTGTTTTATTCGCTAAATAGTCATATTTTAGTAAATAGAAAATATTAAAGTTTCTTTTTTTATATATAATCGAGCTAGTAAAATCTGTCATTTGAGGTTATAATCCATAAGAAACTACAGACTTTGTACTTATACATCACAAACATCTAATCTGAACCAAAGCTGCATTCAACATGCTACGTGACATACAAAAATCGATATTTAGGAATTTTGTTTTAATATTTACTTTTAAACTAAGAAATTAACTAATGCATAAAACTAAAATTTGATTTATAATCTATAATTTGATACCAAACTTATTGACATACATTCATGAAATAGTAGTACAATAAAATTTGAAATCTACAAACATGATGACATGCCCTTTGACCCATGACCATAGGAAAACCCATAGTAATAGGATTAATGCTCCAGGCACATACTAGACAGTCATTTTATAAATTAGATCTTTATGGGGTTTCTCAGATATTTTTACTCAAACACATTTACACTTTCATTGAGAAGTACCAGACAAGAGTTACTGAAACCAAACAATCACATAGAAAATTTTGACAGGCTAAAAATTATATTTCTTGTGGCAACTCTATCAGCAATATAGTCCTCATAATGATTCTTACTGCATGTATATTTTTAACATTACCTTTAACTTGTGACTACCACCATCAAAAGTTTCTTTCCTTCAAATTTTCTCTATAAAAATTCAAATGTAAAAGACCTTTCATTCCTGAGTTTTTTTATAAGATAATTATATACATTTTTAACTCACATATGTTATCTATACAAACTTTTAAGCCAAGTCAACTGAATTAAGAAGTGCTTATTAGGCAGTAGTCTTCAATATTTTCTATATTTGAATAAGATTGAATTTTTATATCACAGATAAGTTTAGGTAGTAGTTTGCCTGAGAAACTAATGAATTTTATTAACGAAAGTTTAAAACAAATTTGCATAATGGTGAAAGTTTGGTAAATTGGGCATAAATTAGGGTAAAGGAAAGATAAGAAAAATAAGATGTTAGTTCAGTGATTGAGAATTCAGTGAAGTAATCAAGTAGTTGCTGATCAAGAGAAAACTGAATAAAGTTATTCAATAAGAGTTAGTGTTTCTATTAACTCTTTCAGCACAGTCTCGGTCCCTGGGACCAACCTCGTAACCATTTTGTGCTTGTTATAGTTTTCATGCTAGAACTTTTAAATTAGTAAGCATATGGGATTGAAATTTGGCAGATTATTAGTAAACATTTCAATTCTTTCATATGCAAAATATAAATTTTTTCTAATAAGTATTAGGTTTGTTAGGCAATGTTTTTCTCATGCCTTTTTTCCTTTTCGCATGTTGCGTATCCAACATGCAAAGAAATTTTCATTTTAAGATTAAAAATACTTTTACGCATAAGAAAATTTTCAATTTTCGCATACGTATTCTTTATAATGTCCAGATAGTTATCAAATGTTTCTTAAGAAAAAAAACTATATCCGTTATTTTCATTAACTAATCTCTGTACAGGTTTGGTAGATTTGACCGATCTTGTAAACACCATAAAAAATTAGGAAATAAATATAAATTATGCCTCTTTTGTTCTAGAATGACAACAAATTATAACATGAAAACTTAAATGTTAAGACTAAATAGCTTAAATCTCATAACATTATAC